CCCCAAAACCCCAAAACCCCAAAACCCCAAAACCCCGAGTATAAGAATAAGGAATATTTAAGATTAAATAATAAAAGTTATAATTTTATATTTAAAATGGCAAGCAAATAAGGTTATGGAGCAGACTTGAGAAAGTTCATGGACTTGAGAGTAGATCTTAGGTTAAACTGCAATAGACATGTTGCAGGTGTCCTCAAGGGTTACGATCAATTCTTGAATATAGTACTCGACAATGCTATTGAAATTATATCAAAAGATGAGAAGAGAGAACTAGGGACTGTTGTTATTAGAGGAAACTCAGTGATTTTGTGGGAAAATCTTGATAAAGTTTTGTGAGAGATTATAATGAGTCAAATTCTGATAAATACTAAATTGAATCATTGACATTGAGTCTTTAACTTTAATTAATTTCCTTTATATCTTTTAAAATTAAAATTATTGAAATTCCTTAAATTTTGAAATTGATTAATATAATCACTATAATGTTATCAGGCTTTAAGGTAGTAATTTATCTATACAAATTTCTAAGAGCTCTTAGAGCAAAATCGCATTCTACAGAATCAATCGCAAACAAAAAGGATATAATGTTTCTAGCTTTAATCTTAAACTTTGTTCTTAAGAAATTAAAGTAAGGTATGTACATATTTCACTCATTATTTAATGTATCAAATGCCCTTTTATATATCATCTCACGTCATTCGAGATAATCATATTATTTAGTCCATGATAAGAATAGATCAAAGATGATGAAAAAGCATCAATCTTTACCCAAGGAACATTGGAGAAATAAGAATCCCATAGTTTTAGTTCATGGGTTTGCAGGATAGACCGCAGACAAGAGCTGGATATGCAAAGGCTACTTTCATCACGCCTTAAGTAATGACGTACTTGGCGAGAACAGTGAGGTTTATGAAGCAGATGTCAACCCTTTTGGTTCACTGCATGATAGAGCTTGTGAGCTTTATTAATAACTTATTGGCATCTCTAAGATATAAGAGGAGGCGAGGAAGAAAGAGCTGTAATTATCCTAAGTAGTCTATGGGGTTGAGCATGTAAGAGATGTTCATAGTGATACTTATTACAAAATAAGATATTTGAAAAAAGTAGTGGATGGAAGAATATTTGCTTATCCAAATGGCATACCAGGCGGTTGGTGCAGACATCGAAAGATTCATTTAGTTGGTCACTCTTGGGGATTAACAACTATCAGGTACCTGCAATATCTAATGAGTATAAATTTTTTCAAGAATCCAGGCTACTTGAAATGCTCCAAAATTGAGGACCAGTATTGCTTTAATGATCCAACTTATGATATGAGTAACTTCATTGCCTCAGTCACTGCACTTAATGGTGTTAATAATGGCAGTCTTGGAGGATATGGCTGTGGTTATGATGAAGAAAAAAGACTATTCATTTAAGGTAAAAATGATGCCGTACCTTGGGCGTTGAAATGGATAGTCCTATTGTTTAATCTCACTTCTCCTAATTATTCAATGAATTTCTAGTAAGAGAGAATAATTCAAACGATTAAGAAAGTAAGTAACTTTAATTTATAGAATAATTTCTCGTAGGATGGTGAGGAATTTTATGAGCTAGAATACATGGATCATAACTTCATGTATGATTATTGTGGAGAAATATTCGGTTTTAACAAGAAAGATGATGAATCAGTGTTTCAATACATCAAAAGACATTACTATAACGATAGTTTATACAATACAAATGATACAGCTGCATGCCAGTTTGCCCCTCATTATGTTATGGAGTAAAACGCTAAGTTTGAGACATATGATAATACTTATTACTTCTCAATTACTTGCAATGTAAAGGGAGGCATAAGACAAAAGTTTAAAGAAGTACTACATGAGCCGAAGCGATCAAGCAACATGGGTTTAGGCTTTGATTTAGAAGTAGATAGTCATATTAATTATACTCTCAAGCATACTAAATATCCCAAAAGAAAATCAAAGCTTAATTGGCTTTGGAGGAAACTAATGCATCTAAAAATAGCTTTAAACCCAATTGCACTTCACTAAGTAATATTTCTAGAAAATTAATATGAGTTTAAACCTCCAAAGGAAAATATGAATAATGCACTTAATCCGAAGATGAATAATGCTGAAGCTATTGACTATTTAAACAAGGATTGGATTTCAAATCACGATATATTGCTGCCCCGCTATTCTCAAGAATTCCCAAGGCTTTCTTCTAATTATAATACTAAATTTGATATCAAAGATAAGCCCTGGGGAACAAAAAAAGATCCTATATTTTTCGATGTCACTGATGATGCCTACTTGGAATACTACTCTTAAAAAGACAAATATGAGAAAGGTGTCTGGCACTTTGGTTCCTACCCTCACACTGATCATCTGGATTATTGTGGACTTCCTCCTATCCTTACTAAAATAAGAACTTTGCTTGGCATTGAATACAGACCGCTACTTTGGATTAATCTTTTTAACAGACTAAGAACCTTGGAAATTGAAGACTAGATTTGATTCTGATATCAAATATATAATCACATATCAAAACAGGTCAAATTTAAATTATACTTAAATATATATATTTTCAAGAAATACAACTTTTAAGGGGTTTTGGGGTTTTGGGGTTTTGGGG